TTTCATTAAAAACTCCACTCTTTATATTAGTGTACACTATATGTGAGTAACATTTGAATAGAGTATAAATTACACACCAATAAATTCTCCTGGCCTCCCATTAAACTCTCCTAGAGTGCATTCTTACCCTATACTGTGTTCATTAAGTACGATACGGCCGGGAAATCGAGTGGTTATGGGAGTTGCACTGGGAGTATATTAAACAAACGCTGGGTCCTGACAGCAGCCCATTGTAATTACAAGTATGTGTAATCTAGATTGTATCAGGTTGTATTACATTTAATAATAACATTCATAATTTCATGATTAGTAAAACCACTTTACGGAATATACATAAGAGAGTGCGTGTGTTTGTGGGCGACAATCAGCACCGGGAGGGAGGGATATCAATACGTGTCAAACGGGTCAACATATTTAGGCACTCAAAGTATCTACGATATAGCACTCTATAAGCTAAACACTGACATCGATATAAACGGGTCGATAGAGTCGGTTCACTATAAGGCAAACACTGTATGTCTGCCGGAATACCAGCCGTTGAACTACGGCCTGAATTGGGAGCCAGAAATAGCTACCGCTTTTGGTTGGGGACAGTTGTATAGCACACACAACCAGGTTTGGAGGGCCACAGTATTACAAAAGGCACAGATGATTTTGGAGCCCAATAATTTATATTGCCAATATTCATTGTGTTCACAACTTGATTGGGTGCCAGCAATGGTTTCAAGGATTTGTCAAGTACTGTATAAATTCAATATAAAATATGATAATGTAATATTTACTTTATTGCTAAAAAGGGTGATTCCGGTGTGTCCAGTCATAATAGGTGTGTCCAGTTATTTCCACAGCACAAATGCGACCCCTTATTGCAACACAGATATAATGGCCCAATACTGGTCACCCGTGGCTTTACATGTCAACTGGATTGTCGATACCATCAACATAATTAATACATCAATTTAATAATGAAAAACTAATTTTTAATATTAAACAATTTACATGAATAGTAAAATAAGATTTACATGTATGTGTATACTGTAAATAGACACTACCTAAAACACTTTATAATTATTTTACTTTATAAATATTAATTATTTAATTATTATACTGAAAATTAACCTGTATTTAAAGTATCATTGAAATTGATATTGGCAACCAATTAGCTAGTTTTATTATTAGAAATAATGTTCTAGTTGTCTGATAAAATTTTTATAGTCATAATTCTCATAGGAAAAAATATTAAAAACATTGTATAAAAATAAAATCTTATTTCATTTGTAAATTAAAACATTTAATTTATGTCTCAATTCATGCAAAATATTGTTAAATGTTTTAAAAAAAATATTTTTAATTAACTGTCGTTTTATACAAAATGTATAAATTATTAATTTATATCTTTTTATGTAAATGTATGTAAATATTATTTAAATCAAATGCAATTTTAACAAATATTTTAATAATTAATTTAAGCAATTGCGGGAATGTTTGTAAATTTGGGTTACAATCCAAACATCACTGGCGATGACTGTGGGCTCCGATATGTGCCTCAAAAATATAGCATTAATTATCCGACAAAATGTTTTGCAAATGCAGTCAATAACCAGACAATGGATGATATATTCGGTGTCTTTCGGTATCCAATAACCAATGCGCCAATTAATAGGGTATACGCGGGAAGTGATGCCGAGTTCGCTGAGTCTCCGTATACTGTGTTCATTAAATACGACACACCCGGCGAAGTGGGCGCCAGCGGATGCACTGGCAGTATAATAAACAAACGCTGGATCCTCACGGCTGCCCATTGTAATTACAAGTATGTTATTTCATAAAATTTATGATAAACATAATTAAACAAAATAAATTAAAACTACTATTTCTATGTATAGTTTTACTACATTATCAAATATATTCTCGAGAGTCCGGGTGTTTGTGGGCGACAATCAGCACCCGGAGGGCGGACTGTCCATTCGTGTTGAACTCGTTAATATATTTCGCCATGGCGTTTTTAACTCGGGTTTTAAGCTCTACGATATAGCACTCTATAAGCTTAACGATGACATCGATATAAACGGGTCGATAGAGTCGGTTCACTATAAGGCAAACACTGTATGTCTGCCGCAATACTCGGACTGGAATTACGGCCGCAATACGGACCGAGAAATGGCCACTGGTTTTGGTTGGGGACAGTTGTACAGCACAAACAACACGGTCTGGAGGGCCACAATATTGCAAAGGGCCGAGGTGCTTTTGGAGGGCCTCAGCCATGATTGTGGTTTTATGCTATGCGCACGGCTTGATTGGGTACCAGAAATGATTACCAGGACTTGTTATGTATGTATTTTTAAAAATACAATTGTTTTACTCGTGTTATCGGATTTTAAGGGTGACTCCGGGGGTCCATTGGTTCAGTACGTGGACAGACACCGGTCGCGGGCTGTTATCGTAGGTGTGATCACTTACGGGACCCACAAAAATAATTCAACCTTATGCAATTGGGACATTGAAAAAATCTATTTTACACCTGTAGCCTATCACCTCGATTGGATACTCTATATAATCAGTATAAATAATTAATTTATGCGATAAAGTCTTGTCTTTTAAGATTTGGTCCTAATGTGGAAAAGTAATGATTGCTTTGTTTTTAATATTAATTTTATTGTATTATTTGAAAATTGTTTTTCAAATATATTTTATTGATAAAATTTCATTTTAATCATAATTATTTAATGAATACTTTTATGATAAGATAATATTATTACTTATAATTTTAAAATTTATTGTGCCTTGTGAAATATATTAAATGCCCAAAATTGTGTATAAATTGTTTTAAATTGTTTATTTGGATGATGGTTATATTGAGTTGAGAAATGAACCTACTGTGTGTTCATTAAGTACAACAATAGAGTTGAATTAGGGTTATATTTGCGCTGGGTCCTAATTAACAATGATCAATTAATTATAATATTATAATACAATTAATACAATTAATTATTATACAATTAATTATTATTTAATATATAAATTTAATACATTTAATGTAAAAACCAATGAATAGCATAACATTAAGTTTATCTTAAATTTTACACATGCCTTAGTTCTCATTAAACTATAATTAATAACTATTATAAAGTCATTTGAAGGTTATTGAGAAACAAATATGATCAAAACAGACCTTGCTTAATTATAACTTAAGTAAAAACAACTAAATATTTACCTTGAAATATAAGCTTTGTAAATGTATCTAAACTGACAAACAATGTGTAATACATTTTGGAGACCCCATCTATTCTAATGTCTAAATTCTGTTAGATTAGGTGATTATGGTAAAATTAAATATGAATATCTAAGGCTGATAGGCAAAAACCACCAAGATGTGGTCATTTTAATAATCGCGCTCATAAAGTGTACAAAGTTTTTTCTATGCAAGTCTAACTGTATAAGTTTAATTAAATTATTCATTAAATTCTTATGTTAATATAAGATATATTATATTTACGCTTAATTATTTAGTAAATAAGCTTAAAAGTGTGTGTAATGTATATTTATATAATAATCCATGTGCAGGAATGGCTGAGCGGACAGTCCAATCTTGTTAAACCAATAGACGCATACATTAAATTTTGAGATTTATAAAATTAGGGTCCAAGCTGAAAATAAAAATATAATTTTATTATATGTTTTGAAAATAAAATTGTTTTAAAAATATTAATAATTTACCAAGGAAAGTATTAAGAAATGATTAGCCATAAAACCCAACACATATTGAGAAAATTCCCAATTATTCATAAGAAACATATCATAACAATAGAAACCGATGTCACGGGCAGAGAGTCTCTCAATGAATGCATGCATTTTCAATCGCTGGACAATTGGTATAGACTTGTGTTTCAAAGCCGAGTAGAGTATAGGACGTGAATTGTTTGCCGATTTGGTAACCCATGTGCACATATATGTGATGAGAAAAAGTACAGTAAAAGTCGAAATAAACATAAGACTAAATATTAATTTTGTAATATACTGAATGTGTTTTGTAAATATAATGAATAATAATACTTCAAATCCTGGAGTCGATAAGTAATAAATAGCAAATAAAACAAATTTATAATATATATTTAAATTAACAGTCATTTTGGTTATGAATTTGTGTTTATAAAGGGCTCGTATAAGGAGTGAGCGGTGAATTGAATGCATACCAAGTTTAACACATCGATGAATCTCATCGTTGATTTCATTGTATTTATATTTCACATATAAGTTGGTCATTAAAAACAGAATAATACCATGAAAAGTTAGTGCATAAACGTGAAGGAAAAAAATTACTTCGAGAGTAGACCAGAATATAATACCAAAAATAGTAAAATGAGAATTGGGCTGAAAATAAGCAACGATTTGTGCGCCGGTAAACAGCGCTTGAGTTGAGACCAACATTAGCCAAAACGTCGGTTTTAATACATATTTCATCAAAAATGTTGGTTTTGCCATTAATTTGCTGTGATTTACGGCATTCAACGGCAGTACAAGTTGTCGTCGTTTGATATCATTGAAGAATTTCATGAAATATAGTTTGCTTTTCAACTCGAGATAACTCATTGCGAGGCCAACAAAGCCGACCGTTAACACACAGTCGCCCATCATATACGATGTGAGCACCGGTTCGGCCATTATATACGTGCCGTCACTCAGTATACCTCTCATACGCTGAGTATTGATTAGAGCCGATAAGCAATACCTGAGACACACTATTATTAGCACAACTCGACCCATCATTACTTGCATTTTCCATTTGATAGGTATTAAACCTTTAATATAGTCGCCGAAAGTGGACATAACCACCAAATACTTGAGACCAAACATTTCAAATCGACTCATTAGTTCCCAGTCATCCATTATATGACCCAATATTGCAAAATACTTTAATCGAAACAATACTGTTTGATATGTAAACTGTCTAATAATCTGTTGTTTAATTGTCTAGAGCTAAAGGGACGGTCAGTATATTCCGACTGGGTTATTATTTAAATATCTCTAAAACCACAAAAGGTAATTTAATTCTGTAAAAAGCATATAAGAGCCTTATATACGCGACACCTCCTGAATATATTATTTATAAATTATGGTATACAAAATATGGGACAATTCGGAATGGTCATATTATCGGTTTAACAGTTAAAAATATAGAGATGGTCCCAATGTATGATTTATAAAGGGATAAAAGATGTATTATAAAAAGAATAAAATATTAAAATTCTATTGCAGGTTTTCATATAGCAGCTTAACAAACTAGGCCAATTTTGCATGTTAACCTATGTGGATAAAAATAATTTTGTGTTTTAATATAATTGATTATATTTTTGAAAACTACATTCAATGCTGATAATGTTAGTAAAAGAAAGTTTTTAAAAATCTCATTCCAAAGACAAAATATCTTAAATTGAAATATTGAAAATATTGAGTTTCTTTGGATTTTATGGCTGAAACTGAATATTTCAATTTAAGATATTTTGTCTTTGGAATGAGATTTTAAAAAAATTTCTTTTACTAACATTATCAGCATTGAATGTAGTTTTCAAAAATATAATCAATTATATTAAAACACAAAATTATTTTTATCCTCATAGGTTAACATGCAAAATTGGCCTAGTTTGTTAAGCTGCTATATGAAAACCTGCAATTAAATTTTAATAATTCTTTCTTTCTATAATACATCTTTTATCCCTTTATAAATCATACATTGGAACCATCTTTATATTTTTAATTGTTAGACCGATAATATGACCACTCCGAATTGTCTCATATTTTGTATACCACGTAATCAAAATTTATAAATAATATATTCAGGAGGTGTCGCGTATATAAGGCTCTTATATGCTTTTTACAAAATTAAATTACCTCTTATGGTCTTAGAGATATTTACAAAATGACCCAGTCGGGATATACTGACCGCCCCTTTATAATATTTTATAATATTTAGTAGAATAATTGTACATCAAGTACAGTAATTTAGTTGTAATTGTAACACAAAGAATTGTATTTTGATTTATTTATAGCATATAATTTATCTGAAAAAAATTTCCATTATTTGTTATGCAAACAACTATAAAAACTTTATTAAAATGTCATTTATAATGGTATTAATAATACCGTATTATTATTTAATGATTTATGATTAATTGTTAACGTTGTTAATTATGTACACAAACATTTGAAAGACTTGCATTTGTCGTTTCATAGCAATCAAACCGTTAACTTTATCTTTAAAACTGGACATAACCACCAAATATCTCAGATAGGGCAACCGCGTTCCGGCTTTTTTCCGGCTATTTTATATATATTATAGTGTGAAGGGATATTTATTAATATGTCTGTTAGGGTTGAAGTGTTGCATTTGTCATGAAAATACATAATTGACTCATACTGCAATATACATAAAAATCATGACTGGTTGGCTTAATCTCAGACTAAACATTTCAAACCTATTGTCAATCGGCGATTGATTAATTTATTCATTATATCGTCTAATGATGCAAAATAAGTAAATCTAACAATAATACTGTGTTAACAATAATATGTAAACAGTCTTATAATCTTTCGTTCAGTTGTCTAAAATTAGTATATTTTATAATACTCGTGGTCAGTCAAGTCTCTATTAGAGACTTGGAGTAGAAAAGCCAATTGTCATAAAAAACATTAAAATTATGTTTCAAAGTTTGGATTAAAAATTATTAATCATTCAAATGAATGAACATATTATACACAGAGGGTATAAAATTTATAAAATGCAACTTTTGTAACGGTGTATATGAATAGGATATGTATTGAACAGACGATCATTGTTTGCAAATCCATTGATTGCCAGCTATTTGTGTCAACTCTTGGCCATCGAATTGAACCCATTTTTAAGTGAGAGATAACTGACCATCACTTCAACCAATCGTTGCCATCGTTTGGCCAGACATTCAAATGGGAACCGATCTTCGAGTGGGAGATAACTGACCATCACTTCAACCAATCGTTGCCATCGTTTGGCCAGACATTCAAATGTTCGCACCCAAACAACAATTCCACTAAATCACCACCATTGTGTAATCCATCAACAGGCTTTATGTGGTCAAAAACATTTCTCAGACATAATGGATGTGGTTGTGAAAGCTGTTAATAAAATAAGAAAACACAGTTTTCAACACAGACAATTCCGGGAGTATTTGAGTGTTATTGACGCTGAATACCCTGATGTTTATTATTTCAGCTCAATTCGTTGGTTAAGCAGAGGACAATGTTTAAAGCGTTTCTTTGATTTATTCGAACCAATCAACGACTACTTCACCCATGCTTTGGATATACCATTAAAAACCAAAAATGGTGTACTTATTGCCAATAATGAACAATTTTATTTCGAATTGGGATTTTTTGCTGATATAACTGTACTTTTAAATAATTACAAATTGAAATTAATGGGAAAGAATAAACTCATAACATCTCAATTTCAAGATATTAAAGAAGTGCAGGAATTGTTGGAACAAATTCTTATTAACTTTAATAATAACTATTCGACAATTACTTATCAAACTGTGCTTCATATCGACAAATCAATATTGTGTTGTACTAATAAAGTGTTTAACAATTATAAAACCAATGGCTTCAACACTGATAAACTCAAAGATTTGTTGAAAGACATTATATCACAATTTGACTCACGATTTCAGGACTTTAAATCAAATGAGCAAATTTTTTATATCTTCACAAATCCATTCAGTGCTGTTGTGATTCCGCCATTTGAGGATGAAATTCAGCGTTTGAAATCAAATAATAATTTTGAAAACTTATTTCAAACGTCTGATATTATTTCATTCTACTCTCAACTTAATATTAACGAATTCCCATTATTAATAAATAATGCATTAATAATTCTAACATATTTTGGATCTACTTTTGATTGTGAACAATTTTTTTCTCTAATGAAATCGATTAAAAATGACAAAACTGGTAGTATTTGCGCAAAAACATTAAGATCACATATACAGATTCACAGTGTGTCATAAGTAGGTGGCGCAAAAGTCAGTAACATTGGTTCAGTACGTGGACGGCCAACGGACACGGGCTGTCATAATAGGTGTTAACAGCTATATCTATAACCCAAATGAGACTCGTTATTGCAATCCAGATATTGTGGCCGCATATTGGGCTCCCGTAGCACTACATGTGAATTGGATTACACACACTATTAACAAATTTAATTAATCAATTGTTTGAAATTATAGCCTCGATGGTTTATTTGTTACAAATAAAATATGCATTGTTCAAATAATTACTGGATTTGTGTAAATTATTTTAATATTCTAACAAAAAGTAACTTTTTTTAAATACATTCAAATTTGTGACAGTTTATCAAAATGTATAAAATACTATTTTTTTGTAATTTTCTCTAAAGGCATGAGTATATGAAGTAATTTTAATTAATTTTAACACAATTTACATAATTTCACAGCAATTAAGGGAATTTATGTAAAATTGGGTTACAATCCAAATATCACTGACAATGACTGTGGGCTCCAATATGTGCTTCAAAAATATGCCATTAGTTATCCGACAAAATGTTTTGAAAATACAGTCAATAATCAGACAATAGATGATATTTTTGGTGTTTTTCAGCCATCAATTTCACCCACAAATAGGATATACGCGGGAAGTAATGTCGGGTTTGCTGAGTCTCCCTTTACTGTGTTTATTAAATACGATACGGCTGGACAATCGGGTGGTTATACATGCACTGGAAGTATACTAAACAAACGCTGGGTCCTGACAGCAGCCCATTGTAATTACAAGTATGTGTAACTTAAGTATATCAGGTTGTATTACATTTAATATGAAAATTCATAATTTTATGATTAGTAAAACTACTTCACGAAATATACATAAGAGAGTGCGTGTGTTTGTGGGCGACAATCAGCACCGGGAGGGAGGGATATCAATACGGGTCAAACGGGTTAACATATTTAGACATTCAAAGTATCAGCCGGATCACAGTATCTACGATATAGCACTCTATAAGCTAAACACTGACATCGATATAAACGGGTCGATAGAGTCGGTTCACTATAAGGCAAACACTGTATGTCTGCCGCAATACCAGCCGTTGAATTACGGCCTGAATCGGGAGCCAGAAATAGCCACCGCTTTTGGTTGGGGACAGTTGTATAGCACACACAACCAGGTCTGGAGGGCCACAGTATTGCAAAAGGCACAGATGCTTTTGGAGCCCAATAATTTCTATTGCCAATATTCATTGTGTTCACGGCTTGATTGGGTGCCAGCAATGGTTTCCAGGATTTGTCAAGTAATGTATGAATTCAATATAACATATGCTAATCTAATATTCATATATTGCTAAAAAAGGGTGACTCCGGCGGCCCATTGGTTCAGTACGTGGACAGACACCGGTCGCGGGCCGTCATAATAGGTGTGTCCAGTTATTTTCACAACACAAATGTGACCCCTTATTGCAACACAGATATTTTTGCCCAATACTGGTCACCCGTGGCTTTACATGTCAACTGGATTGTCGATACAATCAATAAACATAATTAATACATTAATTTTATAATGATAAACTAAAATTTTTAGTTTTTAATATTAAACTATTTACATAAACAGTAAAATATGATTTATATGTACGTGTATAAATAGACACTACTTAAAACACTTTATATTTTTTTTAAAAAATTATATTAAAAATTAACCTGTATTTAAAGTATCATTGAAATTGAGATTGGCAATTAATTAGCTAGTTTTATGAGTATAAATGATAACATTTTTATAGTAAAATGTTCATACGTAAAATATTAAAAACATTTTATAAAAATAAAATCTGATTTCGTCTATAAATTAAAACATTTAATTAATGTCTCAATTCATGCAAAATATTGTTAAAATAAACAAAAAAAATATATTTTTAAATTTTTCTAATTAACTGTTGTTTTATACAAAATGTATAAATTATTAATTCATATGTTTTTATGTAAATGTATGTAAATATTATTTAAATCAAATCCAATTTTAACAAATTTTTTAATAATTAATTAAAGCAATTTTGGGAATGTTTGTAAAGAAGGATGCGCATCTGTGTGATAGCGTGCAACCTGGATTTATTGTTATAAAATGAAAGTACACTCAATAGGTAGTCGAGTGATATACTTGTATACAGGTCTATGAAAGCCCAGACCGGCATCACTGGTGAAAATAGCCATTTTAAAACTTTTTCAAATCTTTTATTTGATAAATAACCATGTCATATTATATATCAATAGAAAGGTATGGATCAGTAGAATCAAAATCCGAATGAATTTCTCAAATCTGACATAAGAGATAAAAGTTATATCAAAATTAAGAAATTTAGTATCAGTTATGTACGTTTTTATAGTGAATAACGTAATTACCGAACATCATTTATATCAATTTTAAATATGCTTACAATGATAATTCATTTCGCAAATTTTAAAAAATTTTAATAAATTTAAATAAAATTTTTGGCATTTTCACCATTATTTTTGCGCAAACTTCTTTGGGTTACAATCCAACCATCACTGGCGATGACTGTGGGCTCCGATATGTGCCTCAAAAATATAGCATTAATTATCCGACAAAATGTTTTGCAAATGCAGTCAATAACCAGACAATGGATGATTTATTCGGTGTCTTTCGGTATCCAATAACCAATGCGCCAATTAATAGGGTATACGCGGGAAGTGATGCCGAGTTCGCTGAGTCTCCGTATACTGTATTCATTAAATACGACACACCCGGCAAAGTGGGCGCCAGCGGATGCACTGGCAGTATAATAAACAAACGCTGGATCCTCACGGCTGCCCATTGTAATTACAAGTATGTTATTTCATAAAATTTATGATAAACATAATTAAACAAAATAAATTAAAACTACTATTTCCATGTATAGTTTTACTACATTATCAAATATATTCTCGAGAGTCCGGGTGTTTGTGGGCGACAATCAGCACCCGGAGGGCGGACTGTCCATTCGTGTTGAACTCGTTCATATATTTCGCCATGGCGTTTTTAACTCGGGTTTTAAGCTCTACGATATAGCACTCTATAAGCTTAACGATGACATCGATATAAACGGGTCGATAAAGTCGGTTCACTATAAGGCAAACACTGTATGTCTGCCGCAATACTCGGACTGGAATTACGGTCGCAATACGGACCGAGAAATGGCCACTGGTTTTGGTTGGGGACAGTTGTACAGCACAAACAACACGGTCTGGAGGGCCACAATATTGCAAAGGGCCGAGGTGCTTTTGGAGGGCCTCAACCATGATTGTGGGTTTATGTTATGCGCACGGCTTGATTGGGTACCAGAAATGATTACCAGGACTTGTTATGTATGTATTTTAAAGGATACAATTGTTTTACTCGTGTTATCGTATTTCAAGGGTGACTCCGGGGGTCCATTGGTTCAGTACGTGGACAGACACCGGTCGCGAGCTGTTATAGTAGGTGTGACCACTTACGGGACCAGCAAAAATAATTCAAACTTATGCAATTGGGATATTGAAAAAATTTATTTTACACCTGTAGCTTATCACCTCGATTGGATACTTTATATTATCAGTATAAATAATTAATTTATTCCATAACGACTTGTCTTTCAAGACTGGTCCTTATGTGGAAAAACATTGTTTTTACTTTACCTCTACTTTACTTGCATTGATTGCATTGTATTTTTAAATGTATTTTAAATGTTTTTCAAATGTATTTTATTGATAATTATTTAATGAATAATTTTAATAATATAAAATAATATTATTACTGTAATTTTAAAATGTATTTTGCCTTGTGAAATACTTTAATTTAAACTTACTAATTATAGTAATAATGTTGTTTGTTTAGTGATAATTGATTAAATGCCCAAAATTGTATATAAATTTTTTATTTTAATGCAGCTTAATAGTGAGTTGAGACCTGAACTATACTGTGTTCAACACGAGAGTTGAATTGGGGTTATATTTGCACCGGCGTAGAGCGCTAGGTCCTAATCAATTTAGTTTAACCATTATTAAATTAGTGTCCAAGCTAAAAATAAAACTTCAATTTGATTATATATTTACAAAATTTTTATTTAATAATACATTTTTAAAATATTAAAAATTTACCAGAGATAGTATTAAGAGATGATTAGCCATAAACCCAAACAAATATTGCCAAAATTCCCAATTATTCATAAGAAACATATCATAACAATAGAAACCGATGTCACGGGCAGAGAGTCTCTCAATGAAGGCATGAATTTTCAATCGCTGACCAATTGGTATAGACCTGTGTTTCAAAGCCGAGTACAGTATAGGCCGTGAATTGTTGGCCGATTTGGTAACCCATGTGCACATATATGTGATGAGAAAAACCACAGTAAATAATGAGACAAACATTAGACCAAAAATAAATCGTGTTATATATTGAGTGTGTTTTGCAAATATAATGAAGAGGCATAACTCATATCCCGGAGTCGATAAATAATAGATAGAAAACAGTATATATCTATAATATATATTTATATTAGCAGTCATTTTGGTAATTAATTGGTGTTTATCAATGGCTCGCATAAGTAGTGAGCGGTGTTTAAACATTGAATGATTACCATGCTTTACGCACCGACTAATATCATCGTTAATTTCATCGTATTTATATCTAATATAGGAGTTGGTAATTAATATCATGATAATACCATGGTACAGCAACGAATACAATTGAACAAAGTGAAACAATTCTAGTGTCGACCAGAAAATAATGCCAATAATAGTAAACTGGGAATCGGGCTGAAAGTAGGCTATGATTTTGGCGCCGGTAAACGTGGCCTGAGTTGTGGTCAACATTAGCCAAAACTGCGGACTCAACACATGTTTAATCAGGAAATTTGGTTTTGCCATAAATTTTCTGTGATTCACGGCATTCAACGGCAGTGCGAGTCGTCGTTGTTTGAGATCATTGAAAAAATTCATGTAATATAGTTTGCCATTCAATTCGTGATAAACAACGGCTAAACCGCTGAACGCCAGCGACAGACGCCTCAGTGTGTAGTATATGCTACACTCGTGGCCCAGACTGTACTATATTCAGGGCAGCGGGTCTTAGCGAGCGTATGAGACGGATAACTAATCTCGGCTATTCGTTATGGAGTCTGGGTCATAATTAAGGACAACACGGATGACAATGGCCTGCATTTGGGCAAAATATCCTTTATATGGAGATTATATCAGCAGATTTGAGCTGTATTGGTGGTTTATAGACGCCGATTTGTGGAGTTTGGCTGAGTAATTAACAAGGACCAGGTAAAATAACTTATACAAATGTATATCCAGTGTTTAGTATTTAAAACTATAATATTATACTTTGTAATACAATTCAAGTTTATATATTGTTTTTTAATTAATTGTTTTCCAATAAATTGTTTTTCAAATCATAGTTTGATTTATTTATAACATATTATGTTTTTGAAAACACATGCCATAGTTCTCATTAAACTATAATTACTAACTATTATAAAGTCATTTGAAGGTTAATGAAATACAAATATTATCAAAATAGAAATTGGCCAATTATACTGTAAGTAAAAACAACGAAATATTTACCTTGAAATATAATCAAAATCAAAGTTTCACTTATATATTGCTTTATTCATTTATTATCCAATTACAATAGAATATTAATTAAACAGAATAATTGGTATATTCCAGAGTAAAGAGCGAGATTCATTTATTTAGCATAGGGTTATACGCACTATGATTATCCAATAAAATGCAATAAATTGAAATTAGCCATTTATAAAATTAGGGTCCAAGCTGAAAATAAAAATCAAATTTTAGTATATCAATACAAATAATAAATGTATAGTAAATAATAATACCAAAGAAAGTAATAAGAAATTATTGCACACAATGTCCACCAAATATTCTGTAAATTGCCAATTATTCATAAGAAACATATCATAACAATAGAAACCGATGTCACGGGCAGAGAGTCTCTCAATGAATGCATGCATTTTCGATCGCTAGACAATAGGTATTGACTTGTGTTTCAAAACGGAGTACAGTATAGGCCGTGAATTAATGGCCGATTTGGTAACCCATGTGCACATATATGAGGCAACAAAAACAGCTGTAAATGTTGTGCTAAACATAAGACTAAATACAATTTTTCAACTAAATAAGCATAATTTTTTTTTAAATTAAGCATAAATTAATTCGTAAATTTATTTTTAACGTTAGTTTGAATGGTGAAGACAGAATTAATCTAGCACTTTTAATTTTTGCTGTACAGGTTTTATTATAACTTATAAATTATAAACACTCTATTTGTTTTCTATGGAAATATTAGTTTGTTATAAATTATAATTTGTAATAAATGTATTAAATTTTTTAATAATTGAAAATTATTTTAATCCATCGATGCAATCAATTGTTGCATCAAATGAATAATCAGTAAATTTTAAACAAATATTAAATGTCAATTCATATTAACTGTCATTTTTCACAAAATGTATAAACAATTATTTTATTTTGTGTTTTGCAAATGTATGTAAACATAATTTAAATCAAATCTTATTTTAACAAATTTAACATTAATTTTACAGCAATTGTGGGAATGTTTGTAAATTTGGGTTACAATTCAAACATCACTGGCGATGACTGTGGGCTCCGATATGTGCCCCAAAAATATACCGTTAATTATGCGACAAAATGTTTTGCAAATACAGTCAATAACCAGACAATGGATGATATATTCGGTGTCTTTCGTTACCCAATAACGGATGCGCCGATCGATAGGGTATACGCGGGAAGTGATGCCGAGTTCGCTGAGTCTCCGTATACTGTGTTCATTAAATACGACACACCCGGCGAATGGACTACCATTTCGTGCTCGGGTAGTTTACTAAGCAAACGATGGGTACTGACAGCAGCTCATTGTAATTACAAGTATGTATAGTATCTAATTATACAAAGTTATTTTGTTTTTATATAATATGTATTTCTAATTATATGCATAGTTTAACTACATTACTAAATATACACTCAAGAGTCCGGGTGTTTGTGGGCGACAATCATCACCGGGAGGGCGGACTGTCTATTCGTGTTGAACTCGTTCATGTGTTTAGACATCGGCTGTTTCATCCGGGTACGGGTTCCAGTAATTACGATATAGCGCTCTATAAGCTAAGCAATGACATTGATATAAACGGGTCGATAGAGTCGGTTCACTATAAGGCAAACACTGTATGTCTACCCGAATACCAGCCGTTGAATGACGGACTCAATTGGGACCGAGAAATGGCCACCGGTTTTGGTTGGGGACACTTGTATAGCACACAGAACATGATCTGGAAGGCAACAATATTGCAAAGGGCCGAGGTGCTTTTAGAGGGTCTTAACTATTACT